CTTGTTAGTGCCCTAAACGGCAGTACAACTGCGGAGTAGCGCATTGACAACTCCGCGCCAACGGTGTCCACTTTGCCCCATTTTTTCGCCCTTTGCAGGCTCCATTGCGTGTCTGTGCCTCGTCATCCGGTTCCTTTGTATGTTGCTATTCTCGTCCCAACCCACCACCTTCAACGCCTGTTAGCCTCCTTTTTATCTGTCGTCTCAATTCGCGTGGACGAGCGATGAACAGGCAGCATTTGTTTGAAGTAGACCAAATGTAGAAAAAACGACGTGGTCAAAGGAGACTTCTTTTCTTTTTTTTTTTCTCATTTTCTTTTCTTTCTGGTTAATCCATGTCCTTATTGCTGTTGTTGTCCCAGGCCTTCCGTACTCATTCCGCTCGCATAGGACTATTTGTTTTTCTGGTCCCACTTCCGTATTTGCTCGACCAGTTGACTCGTCCCTGATTGTTCTTCAATCTTCTCACGTCTCATTGATCCTTGTCAGGCTTTCCTCGCTTCTCGTCTCATACATGTATTTTAATCTTTTTGAGCACTTTATCCTACCCTGTTGTTATTAGGTGAACGCGGGCTTGGGTCCCAAAAAGAAAACAGGACACCAGTCCCCGGTTGCAAACCTCTCGTCATCCTCGTAGGATCGTCCACAATGAGTTCGATAATCACTATGAAAAGAAAATAGAAAATCAAGTAACCGCGATCCGTACCCAAGGGACGGACCCCGACTGCAGGGTAAGGGCAGAAAAACAATCTTGAGAGTAATCAAGAGTAATCGGTAATTCGTGACTGCTGACGGCAACATTATCTAAGCCACCGGCTGCTGGGCGATTGGTTGTCCTTTGTTGAAAGGTGCTCCGTACACCCTCCTTCTATTTTTTCCTTTTCTTTTCGTTTTTCGTTCTTTTTCGAACGACTTTCCTTCTTTTCGTTTGTTGCACAAAGAGCCATGGCGTGGTGCATCAGCTGGTATTTCGTTAACAACGGCGGAGAAAGTTGCTTTTCTTTTTCCTGACAGGACAAGGCCCGCAGGTCAGACCAGACGTGGCCTGATCGGCTCTTGGTCCGACCCCTCGATGGTCTGTCTGCCCTGGTCATCCGAACACCTGTCTGATACCACTTCAGAGGTACTTTATTTTTGTAGTCTGAGAGACGGATCTGGCACGACGAGAAACAGGGGCGGCAGGCGGACTCCATCTTGGAAGTAGACTACCCATACTGTGCATTGCACTCTGTAGACTTCTCTATCCGAAACATTTGTCAAATCACAAAAGGCATTTGGAAGCTCAATTTAAAGTGACCAAATTGCGACTGGATGCATCGGTTGATGAATCGCCGGAAGAGACGGGGAAGGGGGTGATGGAAACAAGCGAAAAAAATTGGTGGGTATTCTTCAGACGGATCGGCGGCGAGTGGAGTCCCTTTGTGGAGAGGGCAAATGCATGTTGAAGATGCAAAGAAATCGACAGAGCGTGGGGATGAGGGTATATGAGTGAGATAGTATGGAATCCTCGGCTCGGGTGACCCAGGTGAATGTCTTTTGTGCAAATCGATAAACACAGCAAGTAATTATATGACACACCGATGTATGCATACTGTCACCCACAATGGCAGAAGCAGAGCAGCCTTTGTTACATATCCGTACCTAGGCAGACCGGGTGTGCTGCTCCTAGTGGGTGCAGCTTCCTCCATGGTCACCTTTCCGTGCAAGCCCTATTTTCGAATTCTGAGATATGGACGAAAATATGCAAGGATGGCGCTTGCACATGACCGAAACAGTAGGCCATGCCGTGTCACGTCCCGCCGGTCGAGGACGGAAAATAAGAAGATCACATCGACGGAGGTTGCGCCAAGTCTAGTGAGGCGGCCAAAGGGTGGACAGCCAGGATCGAGAAGGACTTGCTAGAGGGCTTTGGGTTGTGTGTGCATTTTGTCCGCGTCGTCTGGTCTTGGCATCATCCTGAGTCGGATCTTGCTAAAGAACGAGCTGGCTAACTGGCTAGCAAAACCAATGGTAACGCACGCAGCCAAGAGATGGTCCCAGGAAGCACGGGTTGCGTTGGGCTTTGCCAAATGGGATCGCTGGGTGGCACACACATATGCTTACCTTTTGGCCTCCGATCCTTTGCTCGTGGGGTGTTGCTTGCCAGCTATTTTTTTCTTAAGCCGAGCACCCAAGTCGGGACCGTAAAGTCGAAACAATGAGGGCTCTCTTGATACACTTAGCTTCTCTTTTCATCTGGGTTGGCGGGCTACTAGGCTCTGACTGGATGATTTATATACTTGTACTTGACCGCCTCATGCCACTTCTTTTGCACTTCCAACGACTGTTATGTATCCGGTCGAGGAAGTCTTTTAATGTGACTTACAAAGGATTCGCAAACAGGGCGAGGACAGAAATGGCGAGAGAAGCAACGACGAGTCCGGCCACACCTGGGAGACCTTTCCGTAGGCAAGGCGAAGCAAGGCAAAGCAAGAAAAATGGGCTAGCGGAGACTGCATATATATGTATGCGGTGTAACACTAGTTTACTTTCCTCTAGACGTTTGTTTGTCCTGTGGCAATCGGGACGGGATCGGTGGTCGAGGGCAGCACGGTAACATTGCGGGAAGGCGAGGAAAAAGGGAACAAAAGGACGATAGAGAGATGTACGGGGCTCCAGTTCCTCCGTACATCGGTATCGGGAGCTGATTTGCTTGTCCTTTCTCTTCCGGCGGAGTAAAACAGCTGTCTAGCAATCTTGACAGAGTCTTCTGCGACTTTCAACCATGTTGCATTCCTCTCCTTGTCCTCCCTCCCTGTGAAACAACAAGGACTCCTGACGCACGAGGAAATCGGGTCGGAGCAATTGTGTCGAAGGTCAAGCTTGACCTGGTGCGTTGGGATTGCGATTGGACCATTCACTTGGCGCCTGCGACGACAAACGTGGGTTTTTAATGTCAAACAGACCTGACAGTGACGGTGTTTGGAGTTTGTAGAGCGAAGGGAGAAAGATAAACATGCCGGGCTCCCCAGAGCGCACTAAAAAAGCTTATCTCGACGGTTGAGACACTGTTTTGGCTTGACACGTGCCCAGCGAGCTGAAGGGTAGGGGTTCTGAGACAAAAATGACAGAAAAGGGAAAGAGCGATATAAAGCTTCAAAACAAGGGGTGAAAAGGAAAATAAGGACATTCAACTGAGAAAAAGGGGAAACTACGAACGAAGGGAGGCAGTGAAACCACCGACCGGCTCCGGAAAAGCAAGGGAAGAGCGACAGGCACAACAGTTGTTGTACAGACGGAAGGACTGGTCGAGACTTTGCGGGAGGGGACGATTGAGGTCGCAACTGCCAAAAGTCATTTTATCGAGCAGATCGCACTTGCCCGCGAGGATCGGTGAATTGATAAAGGGGCAAAGGGACGGAGAAAAGTAGCAAAATATTGCCTGCATGTCTATCCACCTGTACGCTTCGAAGTGCATCTTGTTTCCTCTGTTCTTAAATATGTTTCCTGTGCTCCTTGTCTACGTCGGTAACGCAAGACACATCTCACCACTACCTGTGCTGAGACAATCGCACATGAACAATCCAGACCCAGACAAATTATACGTCAAAACGTTCCGAGGTTAAACAGGTCAGAAGCAGACTCAGAGCCAAAGCCAACATCACCTTAAACAGTGTTTCTTCTCCTACTTCTGCAGCTTGTTTCTCACCGCAAAGCGCCGCGTTGCGACCCGATTCTCGGAACGGGGTGTGTCTGCTCTCGGACCTCTCTTGTTTCTCATACCCAGTCTGCTGTTTTCTTTAATTTCCTGCGATTTACCCAAGGCGGCTCGCCTTGTCCCATGAACGCCATCTAAGAATCATCCAAGACACACAAGCAAGGAGCTCTTTGGTCTGCCAGATGCCAAACGCCATCTGCCACGGATGAACGCATGAATTTGGGGGCCCTGGTCAGGCCAAGCGGGCGATCTATTGCCGCAGACCTAAAGTCTGGATGGAAGCGTGTGCTGAAACGCTGTCGGGCGTCGCGGTATCGAGGTATTTGAGGTACGTGGGGACCCTCACAAGGACGTGCGGCACTGGCCCTGGCTTTCGTCCCCGAAAGGCCGCCGTTTGATATTTATCACCTTTCATGTCGGGGATGAAGGGCGAGGACTATTGCGCTAACATATATACACGGCTGCTCGACACATTACTGCACACATTTTGTTAGCTGCATTGTTCCTTTTGATGTGTGTCATGTCCATTTGCTTCTTTCACGCCTTCCACTGGTTCTATGCATCTCATCCACATATACGACGTTCTGCTTTACTCCGAATACTGTCTGCCGTCTGTTGTTTAGCTGTATTTGTTGTGCCGCGTGTTGAATCGCTTTCCCTTCAGCCCTCCATGCAGCCAATTTAATGATCGGTTCTGATACGCCCTTGCTAACAGAAACCCAGATGTTGGCGTCCATTCTCAGCCGCCCGTGACGTTTCCCGTATTAACCAACGCAATGCCCGCAAGACTCGTCTTTTTCAGGAATGGCGTCGGCATCCATCCCCTGCTAGGCTCACAATTCTTCCCCTCCCCCACCCTTGCCGCAGGCCCCTTGCCGTCTCGAGCATATCTGAAACAGCAGCAAAAACCTCTCAGCGACCAATCGCTATGTCTCCTCTTGCAATCCGCGAAGTGTCCATACATTTTGAGATGCTCTTGCTTTTTTTACGACATGGAGAAGGATGCAGTGGATTATCAGTCGCATGCGTGCAGGACACCTGCATAAGACGACAAACGACGCAATTGTGATCCTTCCAAGTCCGCCAGCCCAACGGGACGAAAAACGGGGCTTTGCGAGAGGCATCGTCTCTCAGTCAACCTCCCACCCTCCTTTACTTCGTATCATGCTCGGAAATGCTTGCTGTCTTTATGAGATGTTGCCAAAGAGTGCCGCCAGGACGTTGCAGCACACGCGGGCACAAATACACGAAGTCCGTGAGCTTGTGTACCAGGATATTCAACATAGAGTAGCAAGCTACGAAGATGCGCGCTGACAATGTGTACAAGACATCGCTTGCATACGGAATGTACGCGTATAGTGTGCGGGGCGCTCTTCTTCGACAGGCGTATGTACGCAACGCGGGCGTAACGCTCACGCCAGCCCCAGGTGTGCCTTTCAGACGCCCTGAAAATGGTCGAGATGTACCTCGCAAAGGGCCGAGAAAACACTTGAGGAACGATGACGAGAATAACAAAAGACGGTATCTACGAGGGGCAAAACACGCATCACACTGGGACGGAAGGCCCGATGACGATCAACACATAGCTGTGGGACAAGGTGTGGACGTTTATCGAGCTCTCGAGGTTCTTTCATCGGCGAAAATCCAGATACTTATGTATTTCTTATTCACTCCTCTGGGGAATGTACCACCATCTGCGAGTGGCAATGGCCATTGATGATGGCCTAGATGGTCTTGCTAAGTATGGGCGAGGTCCAGTTTTATTGTTGTTTTCGCCTCGTTCTCGTTGAGTCGCTGGTGTTGACGTTGCCCGACCTCAATTTTCTGCGTCGTCTCCATATTTTCCACACTCTCTACAATTCAGTGCAATGCACTTCGAGGTGGTTTTTTTGTTGTTGCTCGGCTTCTTCACGGACTATTGGTTCTTGGTATGTATCCAGGCAGCCAGGGCTGGGGATGCGAACCTCGGCAGCTTGGACAGGCGTTGATTCCACACTGTGTGCGAGAACAGCTTTCACGGAACTTCTCACAACAAATTTGTTGACTAGTTCCTCTCGCCTGCCAAGGTCAATCCGGTAATACCAACAGGACGCTTCCAGACCCTGGCAGGTTTTCCGAAGTGTCAAAAAGTGAGAAGAAAAAAAAACCACTGACTTCGAAATAACAACGGTAAAAGATAGCAACCTATGCCGTCTTCGATGCGGATAACAACCAACTCCGCCAAAACTACATTGGATTCGACGGATACGAGTCGACACCACTAAGGACAGGGACCACGCCAGTCAGCCAGTCAGCCAGTCAGCCAGGGCCCTGTTTTTTACGCCTCAGATCAATTTATTGGATGCTATTTATTTCTCTAGGCGAGCCAGCGTTGCCTGTTGCCACTATTTTTTTCTAGAACAGCTCGTTTTGTTCCACTTGATAGGAGCGCACTGTTGGATTACGAGAAAGTGCCTCTCAGCCCAACAAAAGAGGCACTTCCTCGCGGGTTTTTCGGAATTTGCGGCAGTCCACGCAACTGGTTCGCTTTTATTGTTTGTTGTTTTGCTTGTGCTTGCTGTGCCTCCTATTCTCTCCAATTTGTTTTCGGTTTTATTGTCAACCATGCGGCCGTAGACAACTGAACGACCAACGGAACAGTGCTTATCCAACCATACGAGAGACGGAAACAAAGAGACCACTAACACAGATCCAGGCCCTGTACTAATCAACCCAATACGCAACTTATGCAACAAGTGGTTACAACTTGGAACTCGCAGAAAAACCGGACCAGTAGTGGACAGTTCAAGCGGCCAGTGTGAGATCGCTGGACGCACTGGACGCGCACGCTCTGGTCACAATCGCACACGCTGGACCTTGTGGACGAACGTGTCTGTCGTCAGTTTCAAGCACCCCAACCCTGTCTCAGTTCGTCGATCCTAAACATGCTGCGCCTCGTCTTCTGTCGTCGTCACCAACACCACCATCAAAAATCAAAGCCACACGCAATGTAAATCTGTTTAGAACACACACATAGCCCTGACAGGTGACCTGGCCTCGCGAATGTATGCAACATTAACAGCGGTATTAGCATTTGACAGGGCAACATCCATCCTATTTCTCCCCATCTCTTCCTTCTGTCCATTCGGGATCCCCATAAGATACAGTGGACCTCCAGGCCCTCCAGGGCTCCCTTGCACGGTCAACCAGACACCAATGGAAACGTTAGTCTGTCATGTTGTCCCAGCTGCCGACCTGCATGTGTTTGGGTGTAAGTAGGGAGAAGTGGGGAGTAGAAAGCGAGTCAAGAGCAAGACAGGGGAAACCCCCTTGCTGGTTTGGCCTCGAAAGGTTTCTGGGGCTTTAGTCGACAAAATTCAGTATGTTACAACTTGTCTTGCATGGGCTCCCAGACTCTCTTGCATTATTTCCCTGTGGAGATCATGAGGGTTCAGACGGCTTTTCTTACGTCGCCTCCAAAGCGACTACGACACATCCAACAGAGGCGGCTAGCACTCTTGCGACATTCACAACTCTTACGGCTCTGAACGCCGAGAACCTAAACGAAATCTACAATCAGGAGTCATGTTGACATGATGGAACACATGTACTTCGTACACACACGCTCAGCGCACAACGCACAAACTCATGTACGCGGTCCCTGCTGGTCTGCTTGCTATCCCTTCTAGCGGAAGCTGCCACTGCCTACTGTTTCCCTCTCCTTCTCTCCTTCTTCTAGCGATTATTTATTCTACTTTTTTGAATTTATTTATTTTACAAGTGTACGTCCCACCCCTACCCACCTCTAACCTGGCGGGCCTGACGTTACCATCCCAGCTACAGCACAGTTTGGAACGACACGGCCTGACTAAAAAAAAGACGTTGCCCGACGAGACTGCATCATGCATCCGCACCCTTCCTGCCGAATCTTGCTCGACTGCACTAGATGGTAGACCTTTTGTTTGCTGGGTCCACTGTCCTCTCAGCCACCTCCTTTCCCCCCTTCAGCGCGCACCAGTGACAAGCAAGAAACCGAACAAGCTGCAACCTGTACGCCGTACCTGCACCCGGACCCGCACACACGCACACTGACCTGCACCTAGGGCTGCTAGATTTTTGACAATAAACAGAGGTGAAAGGGAAAAGGCTCCAGGTGTCGAGGGGGCACATACCCTTGTCTTGGGCTTGTCTCCGTTCCTGTCTCTTGTTTGTGTGTGTCCCTTGTCCAGCGATTGGTACCGATCTTACGACCCTCCCTTCGCTCTGTTACGTCGTCGTCCGTGTACGGGTTCCAGAGGGAGAAGGCGGAAGCTAAAGACGAAAGGGGTGCGGTTGCAGGAAGGAGAAGGAAGAACAAAATGCCACTGTCAATGTCGTCGCCGCAGCACCATTCCCTTGTCCTCTCGTTCCTACCTCTCGACCACTTTCCATCCACAGCCGGTTTTTTGTTTCTTCTACCTTTTGTGTCTCCCTTTTATCAGCGTGTCTTTTCTTCTTCCCCCCGTTTTTGCATCCCCATCTTCACATCACAATCCATTGTCAGAAGCCCTTGTATTTTTGTCTCTGGTCCGTTTTGCGGCCTGTGCGGGTCGCTGCCATTCCCTTTTTTGGACATCTTATGACAAGTAAAACCCTTCCTGCCTCTGCCTCGGGTTCCAGAAAGAACCCTTTTACACCATTGTTAACAATAAACACCCCCCCCCCTTCTCCCTCCTTGCCTGCACCACTTACTACCTTCCGTCTTTCACACGCCCCCCCTCCCCCCTCCGGCCCTACCCAACTACCCAACGTCCATGTACTTCTCCAGATGTACGTCCTGGACCAGGTGGGCTCTTCAACCTTTTTGTTTGAATATCCAGACATTCGAACAGGCACGGCCGTATCCTTTCTTGCGGAATTTCACCCCTTGTCTTCGACCTCAGCATCCTCGCTTCGACATATCCTTTCAGTATTCTCTCGCCTTCTTGGTATTACATTCTTTTTTCTGTATCCGTTCCTACCGTATGTCGCCCTCTGATTGAATCACGGTCGTCGTCTCGAAGAGAACTTGACTTTCAAATCGAACTCATCCTTCTTCGTCGGCCTCAACGTTAACATCTGAGCGAGCGTGGCATCCCAGCGTTGTCCGTGGGGCCGTCCGTGACATAGCCGAGCCTGGGAGAGCCTGGTCGAGAGAGTCGAGAACGAGGCGAGATCCCGGGCCTTCTCTTAACCCTCATAATTGATCCTTCTTTCGGTATCGCTCGCCGACTTCGTGTCTCCCTCCCACCTCGCCTGTCTTCTTTCGAACTCAAGTAGCGCGGGGGGCTTGGACTTTCTTGCTTCGTCGGCTTCGACAGCATCCGGCTCGAAGGGACATCTGTCTCCACCATCCATCGTCAGCACCCTCGTCCTCCTCGACCTTCATTGATTTTTCAGCCCTGCTCTTCCAACCTCTAAACCTAAACCACGTCGACGGCCACCTCGACCACCATTCGCGACCGCTGGGACAGCAAGAGACCCGTTCACCATATCCAGGATCATAGTTGTTTCGGCTGTTTCAATCGTCAAAAGGTCCGTCAGTGCATCTCTCAAACGTCGATCCCGGGAGCACTGTTGACCTTTGCTTTTCGTCCTTTCAACTTACTGTGGACAGTGCATCCCTCCTTCCCTCTCTCTCTCCTTGTCTCTACCCACCATTTTCTCTTCGTTTTGCGGTCTTGGCCCCTTTTCAACCACATTTTTTGTAATTTTTTGTTCTTTCTTTACTCTCTTTCTCTCTCTTGGCACTGCCACATTCTTATTTTCTGTCATCTTCCTTTTGTTTGACAACCCACCTGGGCCCGGATCAAACACAAAAGTCTGGGGATCTCCCATACTTTGACATCTGAACGATTTGCAGCAAGCAGCCTCCTGCCGTTGTTCATTTATCTGGGCTCGTCCCTTCATCTCTCTCTCTCACTACCGCCGTCTTTTTTTCCCTTTGTTTTCCCTCTTGTTGTTCCCGAGTCGGACGATACCAATCACGCATGTTCGCCTACTGCTATGAATCATCGGACTAAAGAGAAAAGACGATCTAGACCAAGATTCTTGTACAACGACAAAAGCAACAAGTAAAGAAGACGAATCGATCCGGATCGAACAGGTGCGGTGGCCAGCGTCTATGTTTCTATCAACTGTCGCCTTTGTATTCTCGCAACGTCTCGACGTATACATTGGGGTAACGTTTGAAGAAGTCCTACAACTTACATCTTCGACGTCTCGAGACAATCACAGTTCCTTTGACTGTTAATTGTCGGTCACAGCTTGTTTTGATAAGCGACTCTCGATCTGCATTAAACAACAAGTCAGGAAAACAAGACCATCTGCTACGGAAAATCGCTGAACCCGACAAGATGGATGTGACTGCGATGCTGAACACGGCCTCAACGGCCGCGGCTCTGGAACCGAATTTGGAAATGATTCACGAACGGAAAGACAGCAGCGACGACGACTTCACAGACTCGGCGCAGACACCATCGGCAACGACAGGAGACAGCACGGCCCCGTCGAGCGTGGTTGCAACCCCGCTGGAGAAGACACCGTCCCGCCGGTCAAGCGATTCACGGGCCCCGAACCGGAATCGGACACCGTGGGATGCCGGCGGCTATTCGCTGTCGATGGCGCTCGACAACACAAAGAAGCTTGTTCAGACATCACCAAACACACTGCATGTGCTGCCATCGTCAATGGCATCAACAACACTTCCCGAAAGCATCG